ATGTAACGCTTATTTCTCCATTTGTTGGAAGGATTATGGATTGGTATGTTAAACATACTGACGTAAAGAAGTACACTCGTCATGATGACCCAGGAGTTAAGGTAGGTAATTCACCATGGTTCTGGTTTTCTTTAGTATAAGGAGTTCAAAAGCACTGATAACCCTTGGGGGGAGAGCAAGGGAAGGGGGGGGGGCACGTCTGCCGACTTTTGAGCAATTATTCGGTATGTAAACTTTGTTAAATTGTTAATTGTACGCATGTGAATAGCGAGCAATCGTGTCACACCCTGCACACACTGCAAGTCTTGCACTTTGCTGTCAAGTCATGTGTAAGCTCTTGTCGAGCTTGGCGAAATGGCACTAGCGTTATTGGAATATCGTCTCTCTATTTTTTTCCGAATCTTGGCCACTCTTTGACAAGATTGACAGAAGTTTGCAGGGTGCTTGACAGGTGATAAAAGGCTGACAGGGTGTTATTAACAAGTTTGGGCACTATTGAACTATTCCTAGAAATTCAAAAAGGTTTTTTTCGCCGAAACGTTGCCTATAGATGTAGTTCGATGCCCTGATCACGAATATCACAATCGTTTTGAGCGCTGGCGCCATTGGCGTCATGGTACCATGTCGGATTCGTAATCAAGACCTCAAATAACCACTAGATACAAGTTTTCACCGATTTCGGTGGAAAAGATGGTTGCGCCAATTTGGCGCATGGCGCACCAAATGGCGCTAGCGCCGGAAACAAATGTCGGATTATTAATCAGGACCTCATTAAATCCCCCTATGCAAGTTTTCATCGACTTTGGTGAAAAAAGTGGTGCCGCCAAATTGGCGCATAATGGCGCCAGCGCTCGAAACGAATGTGATATTCGTGATCAGGGCATCGAATTACATCTATAGGCGACGTTTTAGCGAGAAAAAAAATTTGAGTTTCGAGGTAGGAGTAGTTCAATAGTGCCCAATTTTGTCTATTCACAGTCTACAGTTTACAGAATTTGATACGTTTACGAGCGCTTATAGGTGTGCCCTCCCCTCCCCCGCCCAAGGTTATAGCCCCGTTCAAAAGGACTTTTCTCCCTTGACCTTTTTTTTCTAGAGTGTAACACGTATCTACAACTATTACAAGAAGCACGGGTACAAAACGCAAGTTATGGCCGCATCTACAAGTATCAAGAAGCACGGGTACAAAACGCAAGTTATGGCCGCATCATTCAGAAATACGGAAGAAATCAAGGGCTTAATGGGTTGTGATCTGCTCACTATTAGGTTTGACCTTGAACTTGGTTCTCAAAAGTTACGGCCAATATTGTCAAATCTCAATCATTTAGCCCTGGACTGTTGCAACAGCTTGCACAAGATGATGAAGTCGTTTCAGTGGCACTGAAGAGTTCTGATGGTAAGAAAGCTTGTGCTGTTTTTTTATTCAGCTGAGCAGATTTCCTGAGAAAGCGATGGAGATGACAATCATCAGAGGCGACCGCGGTTGTTTTACGTTGTTCAATAGACGCTCTTTGCAATGGGATGGCATTTGAGGCCATTGTAATCGAATGGTGAAAAGGATCGTGGATGAATAACTGATGATTGGCAGGAATAGCTTGATGAGCAGATTGCAGAGATATCGCACAGATCATAAGGTTCGCGACACAACATGCACATTGCAAGAACACTGTGTAGAAACATAAATATTCGACCGAAATGTACTGAATACGATTACACTCCATATCGCATAAGTGGAGTGGGCGTCGCTGCGGACTTCATTCGAACTGTACGGCAGATGCGCTTCGATGGGGATTGCCATTTTGTAAGGGTTGTAACCATATCTATGTCTAACAGAAGACAAAATGACAGCTGTATTGAATGGAAGCATCCTACGGATAGTTTATTTATGCCATGTTCATAGGCAAACCGCCCGCCCATCTTCAAGAGACCAATCCTCGCCATTCGTGTAGTGAGTAAGTCCGCTGCTGCAGTAGCGTGCCACTTTCTTCGCACAAAGTGCGCGGGAACAGCCTGGGCAGTGTTACCTGTCTTCCGACTCCACCGTGCTGCCGCACAGTCAGCCGCCGCCCAACCTTAGTTAAACGCGTTACTTGTCTTGCTCTCTCACTTTTGCTTGTTCACTACCGCTTACTGCGTGTCCGCTGCGAGATTTCGGTGTCGCTGCAATTTCTGCACCACGAGGATAGCGCGGGCGGACCCGACAGACGACACTGGGATGACTAGCCTCCAGCCCTCCTCCCGTACACTTTTGAGCGGAGAAAGTGGCACGCAACAGCAGCTGCGGACCCATTCGCTTCATACATGGAAGGGGCCGTCCCTGTAGGTGAGACTGCTGCTTGCCTTCAAATGAGGTACGCAGCCACGCTTCCCGCGCTTCAGGGATGTGGACTGTATACAGTCTGATTTGCTCTTATGCAAATGGAAGCGGAGGGCGTGGCCGCGTGCTTCATTTGAAAATGGCGTTTGATGCGTTTTTCTGGGGAACATTTGAGGCGACTGTTCCTTCGTACGTTGGGTTCCCAGCTAGGGAAGGGCGGGGGGGGGCGTACTTGCTTGCTGCAGTCGTCTTTTCTCGTTTTCCCCCAGTTTTTTTGTGTTATATTCTATCCTCACCCGCCCACTCACGGCAGCTTTTTTTAAGAGAACGTGGAATGCTTTCGGAAAAAATAAACAGGAAAGTGGAAGTAAGCGGTCCTACCATAGGGAACGTTCGAGTGGATCGCATTTTGGAAAATTTCTCCCCAACAGCAGTACGTGCCCTGCTGCTGTTCTGTTTTGTGATATACGGAGCCCGCCCTCCCTAGTCCCCTGGATATGGAGGGAGCTGCAAAGTAATGAATCAGAAAAAAAAGAAATTTGATAAGTAGGGTGCTTTTGCGTCAAGTTCTGCTTCAGCGGCTGGAATGGACATCCGCGTATCCACAGCTCGATGAGAAAAAGGACGGGTTTTTTTCCGATGGGCCATGAAACGCAGGACTCGATGGCAACTTGACAACTTGACTGAGGGCATACGCAACTTTTAACAACAAGTCCACGATGCCACTTCGAACTTTCATTCGTTAGCACAGATGCTTTAATTTTTTGTTGAATTTATTACTTCACTATTTTTTACTCAAAAGTTCAGTTCACGCTGGTCAGTGTGGGTGGTTCCTAAGCCCTTGCCTGTCGTCATTTTTTTCGACAAAGCACCTTTCGTCTTTACCCGTCTTGCCCTGAGAGGAAGGTGAACACCAATGAGAACTCCTGAGCAGTGGGCCTGACTCCGCCCACATGATTAGTGTGAACTGTGCCCTCTAATTAAGTAGGTGGATGTTATAGGTTTAAGAGTGCAGCGAGAAAATTGCCTAATTGCATTTCTTTTGTTTGATATTCAACGTGCTGCCGAGATTGATTTCTAATGTTGCTCTGCTTATAAGAGAGAGAAGGTTTAGGTAGTGCAGGTGATAAATCGTGATTCCTCGGGGTAAATACTGTGTTAGCTCTTAATCCATTTAAATGCCTGTGTTTTCGCCAAGATATAGAGATTGTAAGGCATTGGATTTGATGTACTTGGCTTGCTCAGTGTAATCACTTACATTGAAGCCCGTTTCAATAAATATTTTACATCATCAGCATCCTGGCTGCAGAAGAGCGAAGATTTCCCGTTTTGCCGTGTTGCACCCCCATCCCCAGCTTAGCTAGAAAAGGTCATTCTGGGAGTTAGAAACTCACCATCATAACACCAATGATCTCGAATATTTATTGGATGTGTGCATAATTTCTATAAAGCGTGCGGTGGCGGATGCAGTTGTGGTGGTAGTTTAGTTTGAGCAGTTCGTCCAGCGTTATCGGTAGGAGTTCCTCCTCTTCACCATGTAACGTGGAGTTTCGGTCATCCTCGTCAATCGATTCACTTTCCTTGTCTTCGCTGTTATCAACTTGTTCTTCTACCTTTTTCTTTTCTTCTGGTGGTAAATTACATAGATCTGAATCACAGCAGCATATGGTGACATGTAGATCTGTGTGATTGCGGCATCCTTTCCTGTGAAATTCAAACATCATTATTAGTTTTCTGCTGCGACGCTGGGATTGCAGGGGGCTGGGTTCTTGGGCCTTGGCAAAACGCTCGAAACCGTGCTACACACTGACGCAAGGCATTAAACGCACTTTTAATACGTTCCTTTGCTATGCTTCGGCCTTGGCGGAGGGATGGATATGAACAAAGGGCGTGGACGAGCAGAAAAGGCCATGCTACCGCGTTGTGATCCCACGCCCAGGGCATGCCATCGCAGTGTGGATTCATTCCCTGAGTAATACGGCCTCCTAATTCCATCCTTCAAATAAACCCCCCTCCCCTCTCTCCATGCTATCATCACTTTCCTTCTCAACTTTCCTACCACTTCTTCCATTTTTTTCCCAGAAAATTTTCAGTTTTTGCCAAAAATGTTCCGTCGAGCGGAGGGAAGGAGGGGGGTATATATACCCAGTGTGAAACAGGAAAACTTCTCAGACTTTCCAGATTTCCCTCACAGTTTTTCGAAATTTCCGGAAAATTTCCGGTTTTTCCCCAAAATTTTGCTGTCGAGCGGAGGGGGGGAGGGGGGGGGAAGGTCGTCAGGATTTAACTATCATTTTCAACTATCGGAAATAGTAGTTGTATAGATCTTTGGCAGTCCCTCTCTCAACAACGACCAAATACGACCCCCCGTTGTGATCATCACAACGATGGGTGCCCTGCATCTACCGCTCCTGACTGCCTTAGCTCCCGAGTGAACGTGTTTCGGGTTTAGGGAGTAAAATTGCCCCTAGCGAAACGTTCCCAGCTAATTTGGTGCAACCTCTAGCAAAAAGTTCCCAGCTTATTTGGTGATATGAGGTACCTTGATGGGATAAGGTATCCATTCGTTACGGGGTTGCCTGCCACCGGCGCCTGTGACGCTGGCGCCAGCGGCAGGCAATTCCGAACAGATGTGATATTCGTATTCAGGGAGTCAGAATGTCCCTGTGGACGAATTCTAAGTCAGACCAACCCAAGGAGAAAAGGACTATCAACATCTGACCTGATTTTAGAGGGATGGGCAGTTAAGGGTGAATAAATTATAAAGGATAAAGTCTTCGCCGTTGATCAATCCCTTTGTGGGATGCGGCACGCATTCTACTTCCATTCAGAATCGTAGTGGCTTATTGAATGCGATGTGGCCTATACAATGACTTGCGGGCCGATGTACAAGTCAGTGTTTTATCCTCCCAGACGAATCTGGTACCAATTTACCGTCCCCGGAGGGTAGAAGGCTTGGTTGGCCTGGGCGGGAGTCGACCCGGGATTTGAACCCGGGACCGCGCGAGTGGTAAGCGCGCCACTTGTCACTACACCACCTCCGCCTCAAGGGTGAATAGTGGCAATAAATGAAGTCGTTAGCCTTACCTTACAGACATCGAGCAGTCGTTGTTCAGTGTTCATTGACTGACAAGAGGCGGTGATTTGGGACATATCGTCCGAGTACGATTCGAAACAATGCGTCATTTCTTCTTCGCATTCGTTCGGCAAAAAACTGTGCACTTCTTTCCCGTTATTTGAGACTCCTTTGGAACCTGAATGGCTTGAATTGATATGGAGTACACACAAGTATCTGAGCTCTTTCTCTTGCCATCGAAGACATCTCCTGATGTACCTAAAAGGATCAGTTAGAAAGTCAATACCACTGTAATTTTCGATTGGCATTCGGTTGGGTAACGTTCGAACTTCGCGACTCGCGCTAATTCCAATTCTCGTGCCGACCCCGTTTGATCCCTGAGGGTTCAGACGTCTGGAAGAGTTCTCTCTTGGTTGTGATTAGGTCGGTTTTACAGGAGTCCAACAGTTTTGCAAATGCAGTTGGTCACAGTCGCGCGCTTTGGGGAATCGCCGAATCGCGAAAGTATGAACTCTGCCTTTCTGAAGTCCCTGTCCGATGTAAATGTCTGAAGTGGAAGTTGGTCCGAAAGTGGCGAAATTAGTTTCAGGGGGAGCACTGTGAGCGAAATATCTTTTTTGGCTCGAAGTAACAGTAGATGCACCAATTACTGTAGGTTATCAGTGTTGGGTCTTTAGGAGCATTTTGTAGCAAATAGAATGGAGCACCTTCCATGGTGGTCAGGCAGGACGGAGCCCAGTCCTTGCGTAGGTGCGGTCATCCTCTATAGGATTACAGGAGGACACGGTAAGGCGATCCTTACTTCAGACAGTGTTCAGACTTCGCGACGGCAGCGCTTCGGTCGCGCGTTCGGCGCGATCGATGCGCATGCTTTCTACTGCATCGATCGCGTCGAACGCGCGATCCAAGCGCTGCCGTCGCGAAGTCTGAACGCTGCCACATCGCGCGCGGGGGTGTGCGACGATAGGTAGACAGCTACAACCAGGTGCGCGATTCCACTTGCCATCAATGTAGGCGAATTACGATTGTCTCGACGCAAACCCCTTCCAGGATGGTCAAGAGAAGGTGCGCTCTAGTAGGAAGGAGTGGTAGCCGCCCTTCTGGCCAATGTGGACTTGCTTTTAAAAATGGCAAAACTCACCAACATAGCATTTGAGAGCGAGGCTGTTGGAGTAAATAAAAACGAATGCTACCAATAGTTGCCCAAGAAAGCGCAGGCGCCTGATCATTTCTGAAAATAAAGGATAAAGTCTTCGCCGTTGATCAAACCCTTTTTCTTGGGAAGCGGGCACGCATTCTACTTCCATTCAGAATCGTAGTGGCTTATTGAATGCGATGTGGCCTATACAATGACTTGCGGTGGCCAGCCGATGTACAAGTCAGTGTTTTATCCTCCCAGACGAATCTGGTACCAATTCACCGTCCCCGGAGGGTAGAAGGCTTGGTTGGCCTGGGCGGGAGTCGACCCGGGATTCGAACCCGGCGCCGCGCGAGTGGTAAGCGCGCCACTTGTCACTACACCACCTCCGCCCACTTCTGAAAATATGGCTTCCATTTTCAACTCACAATCAGCGCTCGACGTTGAGACGCCAACTCCAATGGTGGCGAAAACTTTTAGATGTTTTGGAAGAAGCTGTCAAGAAGCAGATGTGGTGAAGTGGAAATCGATGCAGCTCACAAATGGGCATGGTTAGGGGTCAACTCCCAGTCGGGATCTCGTACAAGGCCAACCAGCCCACTATCCTTCAGGGTTTCAAAAAGCGGTTTCAGAGGGGACGAAAGCATGAACGATCACTCCTACGGCGCAGTCGTGACGAGGGGAGCACTTTGCTTCCTTCTATGTGTCGCCTATCTAGATAGCCTTCTTTTGAGTTGACACTTTTCACTGACTAGATGAGCTTGCCCCAGTTTACAAGAGTTCACAACTTCTACCAGTGAGACTTGTAAGCCGGATGAAGTGAATCTGTGAAAGTGCAGAATGCCCCGGCGCCGAACTGCGCCCACTCCTCCAGAGCACAGTCAAATAACACCTGCATTTTTGACTTGGGCAGAGGTAGGATATATGGCGCAGGGCCTTTCAAGCGTCGTTGATATTAAAGGGTACAGGTCGATATATAATATAGCAGAGGTGAGGAAATGTGGACCAGAATGAAAGTAATCGTGCACTAAAAGAGCCACCAAAAGTCGCATGATGACGTTAGTTATACAAGCAGCATATCTTCTGCTTTTTCGGGTACCAACACTGTTAGTTGGGCGCTGGCTTATCGTCTTGTCCGCTGCGGATGAGTGAGGGCGCTTAAATGAGGCTGGATTTGGCACGCGCAAACGCTTTCCCACCAATTGTTGGAGCGAGTAAGCGACAGCGTTTCGAACACTACTACGAATGCTACGAACGATATGTTATAATCCAATAACTCACCGAAAGACAAAAGAGGGAAACAGCGGGCTTGCGCCGAGCTTAACCCATCCCCATCCACCCCAGCGTTTGTCCAAAATCCCCCTCCTTTCTCTTCGGAGTCTGCTGAATGTCTGAGATATTGAGGAGCCTCACTAAGATGCGCCCATACTGTTTACATGACCTAAAGGTTACTGGGCGTGGAACATTCTAGACGAGGTGTCATCGCGTAGTGTTTTGACTCATACAGTGAAGCCATACTTGTATCACTGGCGAAAAAGTAACCAGAACCTCAGTGGTAGCATATATAACAAAAACAGGGACCGGTCGCTGTAGCAAGTACGTAAGACTAGCATCTATTGGAAGAAAGGAGGCTGTATTGTAGGAACAACGTCACAAAATGATCCCAAAGATGCATTACGTGGCTGCGATTCGTGGGTGGTGCTGAATGAAAGGAAAAGAATTGGAATGTGGAATGAAAACCCAGGTGCTAAATGACTCACCAGTAAAAGAAAGAGTGGTTGAAACCATCAAAAATAGCACATCTAACGGTAGGGTTCGGTTGATTTCTAGTATTGGACGAGTTTGCGGTGACTGAAGACGGTCAGCGAGTATCCAGACATCCAGATATGCATGTGGGTATGTTACGATAGCACCAAGCGACGTCGCGCGCGATAATTAGAAATACTGTATGGTTGCGATCAGCGCGCTCTCGCGATGGTTTTTATCGCGACAACGACATTTGCTATTTTTTTTGAACAAGTTGAATCTTAACAGTACGATGTTAAGTGCAGTCCCAGTCCATTTTCCTTGGGTATGATTAGCGTCGGTCGCGCGTTGGGGACAACGAGGTCGTGAGTATGGTGCCCAAAATGCATTGGGACTGTCAGTTGGTTGGATCAGTTAATAAGCTGAACTATTTCGCAAGTAGGATCTGTGCAGGTTCCTTCGCACCATAATTGCTATGTGATCACTCAGTTTGCGACTACAACAAGATCTAACGGTCCTACCATAGTGAGAGCGTGGCTGGAAACTGAAGCGGACACAGTCTAATTCAATAACGCGGTGAGTTCATCGCAGCGTGCGCTTCATTGCAAGCACGCGGTGTTTGCAGATTGCCGCGTACGCGACGTCGCGTGGTCCTGAAGACCGTCTCCCATACACGAGTCACAGGCATACAGACGCACATACAACGAAGCGCGCGCATACAACGAGCTAGAAAGGCACCCTTATTGTTGATTGATGGGCGCTTGAAAAGTTGTAAGAGCGGCAGTGAACTGCAAATCCGGTATGCCTCGTTCTACGGCAAACATCTTAGCTCGATCTTATGTCATTACGAAGCCGCGGCTTCCTGTACATACAGAAGAATTGCACGTATACCGTTAACCGCAGAACAGTGTTCTTGGCATGAAGTCAAAGGCGCATTCCACAAGAGCGAGCAGCGTTGGTAATGAGATGTGTCATGAATGAGTCTGTAAGTCCAAAGAGGACCCGCTCCAGCCGAATGGAAAAACCAAAGCCATGATCCGTCAAATTCAGGCGACGTGAACTGAAAGAGTGGTGCATACTGATAGAAATGTATATATAGTTATACCCAACATTGCCGAACTTACTTAATTGACTAAACGACACGATTTCATCGTATTTTATACCATTTCACTGTTTTATAAGGAGCATAGGAGTTGAAGGCGCAGATCGGCGACGCGGGGTGAAGGGGAGGGGGAGGGGCATTTTGCACTTTCGCTGATTCACTGGTTCCGGTTACAAGTCCTACCCTGGTGAAACCTGTGAACTCTAAGAAGTGCCCGCAAGCCTACCCGGCTCGAAGTGAACATCGTACAACTGTTAACTCTTCTAAGCTCACGAAAGTACTAGCTCTCTAGAAGGTCGGACACTATCAGTGGAAGTGAGGAAGTGCAAAAATGCCCTCAACGCTGACATCTATCGCACAAAAGCCACCGAGCTGAGAAGGCAGGAGTGAGAGAGCGTAAAACGGATAGCGCACTCGTCCGGAAAGCGTGATGTGCGGGTTTGAGTTTCGCCTGGTACCAAGACTTTTCTTTGTAACTCAGTCATTCGTGGGATTACATTGGATAGGATTTTGTATAGAACAACACACCGAGAAAATGCCCCCTCCCCCCTGTGTCAGCACATCCACGACGTCGTCCACGACGCCGAGTTGATGGTCCTGAAATTTACCAACACTGCCACGCATTGCTTCGACGTTGTCGTTTGTATGGATCTTTTTCCAATGACCAGTATTCTTTGCAACCCCTCCCCCAGTCGACCCAAAAAGAGCCAGCTGAAGTGGTATTTTTGAAGCAGGAGGCGAGAGTGTAGGTGAAAATTCAGAAACATCTGCTCATCCATCGACGATGTCGCGAATGTGCCAGCAAAGCCGTTGAGGTAACTTTGCTCAACATGCGATTCCATACATAATCTCTTTTCGCGTACTTTATGTTGCACTGAAAAATGCAAAAAAAACACTAAAGAAAGTTTTCCTGTGGACAATATTTCCTTGTTTAGGCTGATTCGGTTTAATAAGGTGGAATTTGTTCGAATAAAAAAGGAAAGTATTGGTTACAGGAAGATAAATCGATACACTTAAATCGAATCTCTCAATGTTTGGACAGTCTAGGTAGGTTGAAAAAAACATGTATAGCCTTGTTCGCCACGGATGCGGGGGCGTGTCGGAGGGGCTGGGTTTGGCGTGGAGGCTGTGGTTGACGTGGTGACCGGGCTTGGCGCTGTTCGGCTGGAGTCGGCGCTGTATCTCAGCGACTGCTGAAGGGGACAAGCGTCAAGAGCTGGAGGAAGTTAGACTGGCGCCTGCTCTCTGTAGGACGCTCAGCGAACGAGACTAGGCAGAATGCGCCGCGAAACCTAATGTGAACGCCAAAGAAGGTGTTATGTATGATGCATTTGGCGCAGCTTATATAAAAGAGAATACTGATACTACTGAAGGTTTACAAGGATTTCCAATACGCTCGTTGCTCAGCAACAAAACTAGAGAACCTATATTAAAAGCATATGCAGACAGCAAGCATATAAGCAGTTCCAGCGTGATATCGTTGGGCCAATAAACTGCAATAACGACGGAAAAC